CTCGGCGCGGGCGGGCGCGACGGGTGGAGGCGCCGCCGCCTCTCTCCCGCTGCTCAAGGGCCACTTCGCTCCTGCCAGCGCTGGGGCGGGAGGAGAGGGCCAGTTCTGCCCCCGGATGAGCCATGCCCAGAGGCAGCCAGCCCCGCAGCAGCAGCAGCCGCCGCCCAGCTCGGTGGCATCCGCGGCGGCGGCGGGGGCCGCGGGGCAAGCGGTGGCCCACCCACCTGTCTGCGCAGCGGCCGCCTACGGCATGAGCGACCCCCGGCGTTTCCACTGCCTCGGCCTGGGTAGGTCCTCCCTGGGATCTGGGAGGGAGGGTGGACAATCCGCGCTCGTTCAGCTCCCGAAGGACCTGGGCCCCGGGCGCTGACGGCCATCCACGGCTGCCTTGCCCCCTCGGAAGGGTCGCGCCTCCCGGAGTCTCGTCTCTGGAGGGACTCGCGTGACTTCCCGCTCTTCGCTTCTTAGCCCGTTAATTTCCCCGAGGGGTCCTTCCCTAAGGAAGACCTCTTTGCTCCCGGTTCCTCTGGGATTCCTTGTGCTCCGTGGAGACCCTGCGAGCCTTAGGCCGAAGTTCATCTGGCAGCCCGGGGCTAGGAAGGCGCTCCTCTTCCCCGCGCGCCCAGGTGAGAAACTGCTCCGGGGGTAGCAGGGAGCCTGGCGAAAGGACAGGCTGCGGAGGGGGGCTTGGAGCTCCTGTCCTCCCTTCTCCAGATTCCACCCAAGTGAACGTGAAGACTGGTGGTTAGGGGAAATTCACACACACACACACACACACACACACACGCACAGAGCCGAGCGGGGATGTCAGAGGGTGGGCCAGGACCGAGTCCACACAGCTGGAGAGCACCTAATTGAGGAAAGTTGGTTTTTATCTCCTGTGAACTCAGTGACGATGGAGTAATAGGACAAAGGGTTAGTCTGCAAAGCTAAGCTGGTTAAACTGGCATATTGAATATTGTTGGTTTGTCATCCGGCGGCGGGGTTAAGCTTTAAGTTGTAACTTATAAATCACAATGGCTAAGCTGAAGCAACATGCAGGTGAAGAATGTGGTGCCTGGCTTTCCAGCAGCACAGAGAGCCACAGGTTTTGTTGAAATCTGCTGCTCAGAAAGGCCTTAAAATCGAATCAGAGCTCCTCTTCTTGCAAAACAGGGACGTCTGAAGGTTCAGAGTTTGGACCTGGGTTCCTTGCAGGCCTGCCTTGAAAAGCCTTGCTGGGTCT